TAAAGACTATTTAAACAATGTACCAGAACAAAACAAGACGAAGATGAATTTCGAAATGTAACTGAGGAATCAATTGCATTGTCAAACCATGTTTTAATCAAAACAACTAACAATAATTGAATTCCTCTTAAAATCTGGAACAAACAAATAGTCACCCAAAACCATAGTCTTATAAATAACTTGTCCTACTGCAAATGCAGACACAAGTTCCCATTTTCAAGCTTAAAATATCTATGTCCATTGCTGACAGGTATCCATGTTTGAACTACTACAAAGAGTAACAAACATAATCAGTGATTCCTGAATAAATAATTCATTCACTGATCAGGCCTAGATATACCCATGTCTGGTTCTTTTCATCACCTCTGGGCAATTTTTCTTTCAGTATCCCTTCAGTCTGCACTTGAAGAACTTGCCTTGCAGCTTCTTCATAGCAACTGGTTTGACAACTGATAACCAAGTCATTTTGTTCTTGTTACCACCCTTGGGTTTCCCTTTGGATTTAACAAGACTCATAGCAAAACCTGCACCGACTCCATTCTGTCTAGCAAAGCTGCTAGACGCAGCAAACATGTCATTAAGAGTCTGAAGCATTTCTACTCCACTCTTAATCATGTACACTTGCTTCTGCAAGTATTTGGAAAGACTGACTATAATATAGCAGCGAACTACCATATCTGCCATTTCCTAATCTGAGAAATGCATCTTAGTTTCCTTAGACGCATCCTCTGCAGGTTGCTATGGCCCTCGCATTGTCAGGACAAATTTTAGCTTCCATGTTTTAGAACAATATCAAAAAATTTGCTTTTCACTTATTCAGAGTTGGTACCATCTAGAGGTTTCCGACTCAAAATCATTTCTAAGATATTTTTTGAAAAACATATAAAGCACACAATTACAAACAAATAATGCAATAAACAAATGAAGTGCGAGTAGATTCTCATAACTACTCTTGTTTATTGTTAACAATCTTTCAGTTTATCTTTACAAGGCTTACGATGGGCAAGTCACTTGTAAAAACCAAAATTGTTATTTGGGCCTTCAGTGCCATTGCCAGAGCCTCGATGGGAGGGTTAACAATTTTACCAAAGTTGAAAGTAATTAACCATTGTTTAATTTCAAAATTATCCTTAGTGTCTAAGCATTGCCGACGATGGGCCGTACAATACTTTACTAAAATTTTGAAATTATTAAGATTTAATCTAGTGAAATCTGATTATCCTTATCCGATGGGGCTTCAGCGATAACCATTTCACTAATAGACCCACAAATGGAGCCCACAGGTTTTAAAATTAATTAATTTTTAAAACCTTCACCCATTCAACATTTTTGTTTGAGAATTTTCATAAGCCCAGTCGAATTCATTGTTTAATTTCAAAATTATCTTTAATAACTTAGTATTATCGACGATGGGCCGTACAATACTTTATTAAAATTTTGAAATTATTAAGGCCCAATAAAATCCAATTATGCTTATCCGTTGGGGCCTCGCATGATTATTTTATTGATAGGCCCATAATGCGCCTGAAGGTTAAATTAATTTCTTAATTTAAATATCCTCCCATTGATATTTAAGTCCAATCTAATAAAATCCAATCATGCTTATTCGATGGGACTTCACATGATTATTTTATTAATGATCCTATAATGCGCTTGAAGGTTAAATTAATCTCTTAATTTAAATCTCCTTCAATTCAACATAAGCAACATTTTCTAATTTCCAAGAATTATTTAATTGAGAGTATCCTTTGTTTGATTTCAAAAACTATATAAGTAAGAGCGCCGATAAACGTGCACTAAGCTTAACATAATTTTGAAAGCATTAAGGTCCTGAAATCCGGTCACTTTACGTATGCTCCGAACAATCATGATACATGAATGTTGTATGCAGCGTGTGTTATTCCATGACCATTTCAGAAAACCCACAAATTACTCGCAAAATAAAAGAATTCTCTTAGGAAATTTTCTCTAATTATTTTTCTAGATTTAAATCATCCAAATAGCTGACGTAATTATTAATCTAGATTGCAACAATCATAATAATTATCATTTATGAGGATAATTTGAAATCAAAATAATTTCCATAACGATTATTTGTCTTGACGTTAATTATCCAAAATTAATTAATTCAATTATTAATCTAGATTTTTAATAAAAATCATAATAATTATTAATTAATTTCTTAGGATGATTTAAAATCAAAATAATCCCATAATAACTATCATACTAGTCGCTGAAGACATAATAGCTATTATGTTCATGCAATCATACAAGTTATGCAACAATATGGCACCACCTATCCTATATGGCATGTTATCGCAATAAAGCATGTTATCAATCATATAATTTATACCAATAATAAAAGCATTAAATAATAAAATCTAATTACTTTAATCCATGACATTCCTATTTTAAAGAAAATAAAAAAAAATGTTACAACTTTGGAATTCAACTTTCGCCTAGCCCATAGTATCTGTCTCAAGCCCCTTTAGGGTTTCCATGGGCCCAAAGCCCAAAGACCCAATCCTTTGGCGAGAAACCCTAGGACGCGAAAGAGGAACCCTAGCCGTCAGGTCTGCCGCGCCGTCACCCGAAGTCAAATCAGGGTGAAACTCCAGGGGAAGGACCGCCACGTAGAGACGAGTGCACCGCCGCCGGAACCACCCAAAAAGGTGGCCGGACGCTCCCTCACTCTCCCATTCTTTTCAGGAGAGTGGCGGCCACTCTCAGCCTCTTGTGGAGGCGCGTGGTGGAGCATGGAGTCTCCGATGGAGGTGATCCACCCACCGTTGCGTTCGTCTTTCCGTCCTCTTTCCAACCATATATAGATAGCCCCATTCTGAGATCGGTAAGTCCTCGAAAAGTCTCCGACAGTGCTGACTGCGCATCTTCCTCGCGATTTCTCGATCTTGAACTTTTACAAAATATTGAAAAAATACACAGAAATTCCAAAATTAAACAAAAACAGCAAGGAGGAAACCTAATCATATGGGATTAGCCTCCTTGTTACAAATCGAGAAATACACGAGAGACCCTAACCATGGATTAAAGCATTTTTACTGATTAAAATTTAAACTTTTATGAAAATGAATTATAAAATACACATGCTAGATTCATACCATAATCCTAGAACCCTAGGTGCCACATTTCAAGAAGCAAAACTAATTACATGAATAGTGAAACTAGATTCACATACCAATGTACAGTCAAGGCTCTGATACCAATTGTAGGAAATCTTAGATTTATGCGGAAGCGGTTTAGGACCTAGTACATTGGTATGCTTACCGAATCATCCTTGTTTCACAATTACCTCTCGGTGCGCAGGTCTCGTGTAGAATCTTCCCTTGTAGGATTCCTCTTCACGAACAGCTCACCTCAGCGCCGCAGCATGAACAACCTCCTTGAAGCTGGACTGTGGCAGATCTTCCAGACTATCTCTCGAGGAGGATGAGATGGTTGTGTGGGCAACCGTTCAGATGATGAACGTCTGCCTCTTGGGGTTTGTTTCTGATGATCTGTTCACCTTGGAGGCACAAGAGGAGAAAACTATGAATATATACGCTTAGGTCTTAGACATAACTCAACCCTAAGCCTCATGAGCTCAAGTGTCACTGAAGCCCAATAGGACTTTAGTGACCAAAAAAGCATATATCCAACAAAGATGCACCAAAATCAAATTACGGTCACGTTTCTGCCTGGTCAACTATATCGATCGTAATTTATTATATACATATAGCAATTCAGGCTTTCAGAATTCATGTACGCTAAGTCAAAATAAGACCTTTTGATTCTTATTTTTTTTTAATTTTTTCGCTGTATTCAAATTTTAATGTCTAAGCCATCATATATAACTTGTTTAACTATATTCAACAAAACACATTGATATCACTAGCTTGGCAAAGTTTTCTTTTTCTTTCACTTACATTTTACATAATGAAAAATAAAAATAAATATCTACTCATATATGGACATGAGCCAAATTTAGATCGACGGCCACCTTATTCAATTAGTTAGCGTTGAGTACTGTCTTCAATCTTCATATAAGCTCTAAAATTTCAATTTGATCTATATGTTATTTCAAGTTGAGTGCTAGTATTGTATACAACTTTTATGGAGTAAAAAACAGAGAGGATAAGAGTGATAAGGAAGAGCTTAAGCCACATGGTAATATGCTCCAGCGGTTCTTCGAAGTTACGGTGTTTTACAAATTGGCTGTAGCGAAGCCTTTTTTACTAGCCCCCAAAGACCAAATTAAGTCCTAGCCATATTTTAAGGATTTGACCGATATGCATTTTCCCTATTTCTCCTTTCAAAATCAATTTCATTCGTCAACCAAGAAGATTGGGGAAAAAAAAAATTAAAATTAGGTAAAAGAAGAAAAAAAACAACAGACAATGAAATCATGTTATTCTAGAAAGGGATCAAAAATGCCAAATACATTTCATACCGTAATCCACGATCAGGGAGATTTGTATTATTCCAAATGGACTTTTATGTCTATTTATAGTGTTAGGTATCAGTTGCTATTAATATCATGTAAGCAAAATCGCTAAATCATCTCAAAACAGTTAAACACGAGCCTATTGAGTTTATTCTTTTCTATCATTATTTTTGACAGACTTAAACTGTTAACTAAAAAATTAAGTGTTTACTTACTGGATCAGGGGATAATATTAAATTAAAAATAATATATATATAGAAAGAAAAGTAAATCTTATGTTGTAGGAGAATTCAAATCTCATGTCATAGATACATCAAGTGTGGGACTCACTTATTTAAAAAAACAAAAAACAAAAAAAATGAGTGACACACCTTTTTTTGATATGTGTAAGAAGGGTTTATTTTCTCATGCAATATCAGAAAAACAACCCCCCCCCCCCCCCCCCCCCATATATATATATTATAAGCATCCAAACGAAATTGGTTGATTTTGTATGGAAGTTTCCGGTTAGTCCACATTGTACACCGTCGCTGACCAAACATCTGACATCACTTAAGTTAAGACCCCACTCGCTATGAGGCTTCCCTTGATCTACACGACACCTTCCCAATCAACAACCCTTCATTTCATTTATAAGCTCCTCTCCTCGCTTGCGTTATTCTTCTATAAACCCCACCTGCAATCTCCTTCTTCCTTCATAGCTCACCCTGCTTCCTCCACCAGAGTGAGCCACATCTCCTCAATTTCACGCACGCAATGAACACGCCACGTGGCTTCTACCAAAATGGCGGAATATTCGCCTTTTGTTTCTTCCTCCTCATCTTATCCCCACTCATCACCCTCGTGGGAGCACAATCCAACAACCCAAACGATCCTTATTACAACAACAACAACCTCAACTTCAGCCCCTCCTTAGCCATCATTATCGTCATACTCATCGCCGCTCTCTTCCTCATGGGCTTTTTCTCCATCTACATCCGCCACTGCGCTGATTCCCCCTCCGGCAACATACGCAACCTCGCCGGCGGAGCCGCCGGACGATCCCGGAGGGCGGCGCGTGGGCTCGATCCTGCCGTGATCGAGACGTTCCCAACCTTTGAATACTCCGCGGTGAAGATTCATAAGATTGGAAAGGGCGCGCTTGAATGCGCGGTGTGCTTGAACGAGTTCGAGGAGACCGAAACGCTGCGTTTGATCCCGAAATGTGACCATGTCTTCCACCCAGAGTGCATCGACGAGTGGCTCGCTTCGCACACCACCTGCCCCGTCTGCCGAGCCAACCTTGCCCCCACCGGCGACACCGTGCGTGGAATTCCTGTCCTCAACGCCGAGGGGGAAGATGTCGAGGCCCAGAACGACGTCGTCGAATCCGATCCCGAACAGCAAAATGCGGACGCTGTTCAAGACTCAAAAGAACTGGAAGTTATGCGCTTGAACCAGACGCTTAACCGAAACCGAACGAGAGGGTCGCGGTCGAGCCGGACGCGCCGGTTCCCGAGGTCTCACTCGACCGGCCATTCGGTTGTCCAACCGGCTGAAGACACGGAACGGTTCACTCTGAGATTGCCCGTGGAAGTGAGGAAGCAGATACTGAACCCGGAATTGCATCGGGCCAGAAGCTTGGTTATCTTGCCTCGACAAGGTAGTTCGCGGCGGGGATATCGAACCGGCGGAGAGGGAAGTAGCAGAGGGAGGTCTTCGAGGCGATTGGACCGGGGATTTAAATCGGACCGGTGGGTTTTCACGATGGCGCCGCCGTTCCTAGTCAGAGCTTCGTCGATTAGGTCCCCAAGGGTGGCTAATAGCGCCGGTGAAGGCACTTCCTCTAATACAGCTCCTCCGCCTCCGCCGGCTGTGGACTCGGCTCGCCCACCGGTTTAAACGCCCTCCTTCAATATTTCATTTTTTTTATTTGTTTTTTGTTGTTGGGCGACGATTTTTTTTTAATCTAAAATATGTAAAATGTGTATAATATATAGCACATTTATTTTTAGTTGAAGATAAATATCTTAGTCAGGATAATCCCATAATCATGATCATTTTGTTCGGTTCAAATTTGAGAAATAAAAAATGGAATGTGGAGAAATTAGAAAACATCAATTAGATGAGAAATAGAACCACCTACGGTGATGTGGTGAGCGTCCTTCCATATCTTAATTTTGTATTTTTGATTCTTAAGAGGGTGGTTTGCTCATTTGGTCAAGCACGAGGACTGAACCGAAAATGAGATGCACCATATAAACGTGTTTGACTAGGAGATGACCATGCTACTTTCGTTTCTCAATAATTATTATGTGGTATTTTCACTCCTTATATATGAAGGGGCACCGAAGTCTTTAGAGTTTAGAGTATCCTTCATCATGATGATATTTGAATTTCTCGCATTAAAACAAGTAATATAGAATTTGTCTCCCTGGTGTATAAAAAACAAAGCTTTTTTCAGGGGAGTTCCACACATGAGTCACATTCTGGCGGGTCTCTGTTGGATTGTTTAACCAGTGAAGAATGTCGTTATTGTAGGTGAGAATCACGACACTAATGACAGTGCTAAATAATGGTAGATGTCATTTAAGAACTTGCCTTCGGCTGAACTTTATTAATACTTTTGTCCAAAATTGAACTGCTCGTTTTGTCCAAAATATTAGTTGCAAACTAGAAGCAATGAATCCTAGCAGTGTTTGGTACGACTATTTGGTATGAAATGGTGGGAAAGTGGGATGAAAAATATTTAAGGACTTGGTGTTTGTTATTTTAAATGACATAAGTTATGTCATTTTAAGAGAAAGATAGACACAGAGATCATGGAGGAGAGAAAGTGAGTGGTTTTCTTAATTTAAAATTTAAATAAAAAAATTTATTCTGTGTCTATCTTTCTTTTAAAATGACATAAGTTTATGTCATTCAAATAACAAACATTTTTTCCAATATTTAATTACCATGTTTGGTACGAGTATTGTGAAAAAAAATTCAAACACATATTTTTCCATGGTACTTCCCTTTTCAACTACACAAAGCTGATCCTTGGTATTTTTTCTATGATTATGAATTCTGATTATAATATATCGAGTCAAAAACACCCTCACATATGTTCAATAGATTTATCACAGAAGTATGGGCTTTTTGACCACTATAGCCTTTTTTTAATAATTAATTACCAAATTGACCCTATTTATAAACTATTTCAAAAATTTAACCTCTCCAGAAAACATAACACCAATCTGCCCTTGTTTGACCGTTGACCATGAAGCCTATCCGGGTAAATTTTAAAAAATTTTACCTACCCGGGTACACCCCTCCCTACCCGGGTATATTTCTTGAATCTGGAAAATGTTTGAATTATTTACCCGGGTAGAGAGGGGTGTACCCGGGTAAATAATCATAACTCAAGCTTTTCTCTTCTTGCTTTTCTTCTTTGTTTCTGGTTTCTTTTTCAAACCTTGCAGAGTCATTTTAAGAATGGCCAATTTCTGAGCATCTGAGACAACCCTCTCCAACATCTTCCTCTTGCCATCTTCAGTTGTCTCTTTTACAGTTTTCCACAACTCAAGCTTGTCAACGCCCAATTCCTTCACCTCTAATTCTGAACATTTTTTTGAATTGTCTGACTGGTGACATGTAATAGCATCCTTTGTTGGAGCAGAACCTTGATTATTTGCTTCACTAATCTCAGGCATATGATCCAGTGGAATATCTTTCATCAATAACCTGTTTTCAGATTTTGTTCTCCATGCGTTAGTCCTTCAATTTAGAGATTTTCATTTGCTGTTCACACAAAGAGGATGGGCGCACACAACCAGTTTATGATTATTTACCCGGGTACACCCCTCCCTACCCGGGTAAATAATTCAAACATTTTCCAGATTCAAGAAATATACCCGGGTAGAGAGGGGTGTACCCGGGTAGGTAAAAAATTTTAAAATTTACCCGGGTAGGTAGGGGTGTACCCGGGTAGGCTTCATGGTCAACGGTCAAACAGGGGCAGATTGGTGTTATGTTTTCTGGAGAGGTTAAATTTTTGAAATAGTTTATAAATAGGGTCAATTTGGTAATTAATTATTAAAAAAAGACTATAGTGGTCAAAAACCCCAGAAGTACGCCATTGTCACTTTCGTGTTCTTCGTCTTCGACAATAGTATCACTATTCAAAAGTAATTGTAAAAAAAGATATGAGCTATGTTAAAAATAAAAAAATCTGAGGTGGTATTTTGGTATTCAAAAGTAATCATTTTTCATATTCAAAAAAATTAAAGGGTATTTTCATATTTTCGATTCACATTCCTATCAATATTTTATCATTAACCAAACATAGTATTAGTAAAATGAACCAAACTTTTTCGATAAAAATTTGGCTAACCAAATACTTTTTCGTAACTTATCCGGGATAAAAAAATTCTTACCAAATCCCTAGTCATATTTTTTTCTTGGTAAAAAAAATTATCTCTCGTACCAATTAAGGATGATGTTTATTACAAATTAAACAAAGGACGAAAAAGAAAAGATTTAGTTAACAAGAATAAAACAAAGGAACACCTGCGGCCAAAATAAAGAAGAAAAAGGAAAAGATGTTGATGGGATATGCATTTTTAGAAATTATGTTTAGGGACGTGCATGGGTCGAACCGAATCGATTTTTTTGAAAAACTGAACCGAATTAATTTAAATGGTTCGGTTCGGTTCAAAACTAGTTCGGTTCGGAAGTGGTTCAGTTCGGAACCGGTTCGGGTCGACCCTCTTTTGAAAAGAAAAAAATTTAAAATTTTAAAAATAAAGTTATAAAAATTAATTTGGTTCGTTTTGAAAATGGTTCGATTCGAAAACGGTTCGGTTCTTAACAGTGGCGGAGCTATGTATTAGTTAGGTGTGGCCTCGGCCCGAGCTAAATTTTAACAAATTATACTTATTATATATAATTAATTATAATTTGACCTGTGTTAAAACTATAATTTGGCCTGGACTACAATTTATAATTTGGCCCTATCTAAATAACTTATTCATTACATAACCCGAATTTTGAGTAATGACCAACACACCGACTATCATCAAATAGCTTGAAAAGTCTAATTATCACAATGGTATATATATTTAGAGGAAGATTATACTTACAACTTTTTTTTTTACAACCTCTTACAATCATATCTTAACACTGTTGATTTTCGTCAATTAACGGTTATAATTTTCGCCAATTAAACTCATTAATTAATTATTAATTCACAATAAATAATAACTGTTGATTGATGGAAATCAACGGTGTTATGATATGGTTGTAAAAAAATTGTATGTATAACCTTCCCCTAATATAATTTAAATATGGAAAAGTATTTCTCCTGGAGATAACGTTATCTCTAGTGAGCTCAAAACGACGTCGTTTTGGATTAAAAAATTAAAAAATTATAATAAGAAAGACTATTATAACCCTGAAATAAATTATAATTACAAAAATACCTTAATTTCTGCCTCAAAACGACGTCGTTTTGGGCTCACCGGAGATAACTTATCTCCATTAACTGGAGAAATCTTTTACCCTTTAAACATATTATGAAATGAACTAACTAAAATTACGAAAATAAACACATATAATTTTTTGACCCGTGCTCAATTTGGAGCCCGGCTCGGCCACTGGTTCTTAAACCAGTTCTAAAAATCGGTTCGGTTCATGAACTGATTTTTAAAAACTGGTTATTTTATGGGGCGATTTTATTCGGTTCATGGTTCAGCCTAATTTTTTGGTTATTTTGCACACCCCTAATTATGTTGATGAGGAGAAAAAAAAATATCTATGTTACTTACGCTACTTCTTTTTTTATTTATTTAATATTTAAGGAAAAAAAAGTATTTTCTTGATAATTCTTCTTCTTTCACACCGGAAAAAGTTGCATGCATTGGACCATGAATGTTCGTCCCGAAGAAATTCAAAATTTTATAATGCGAAGTTATTGGCACTGAGAAAAGTTTTACAACTCAACAATGTGGTGAATTTGTTTTCCTCCACCTCAACTCTTCCTTGGTATAGAGAGAACGTGTCTGCGTTGGTTTTACGCTTTTTCTGTGTTCCCACTCGTATGTGGGGGGCGGCGAAGCTGGCGTGTTGAGAGAATAATGCGCTTTGAGCGATGATGCACTTGCGAAGGGGACAAGAAGTTTCAACATAACAGAAGCGGCGTCGTTGTACGCTTTGCAAACGCTTCCTTCTAAAATTCGCCACATATGTGAAATATTCAGTATTCACTTCCTGAAAGCACAAGCACCACTCTCTCATGTACGCTTTGTTTTTTTTTTTTTTTTGGTAATCATGCACGCTTTGTTTTAATCTGTCCCTATGCTATCCCACTTTCTTTCAAACACTATGTATTATGCTTTATGATATTATTGTTATTATTATTTTTTATAAACATGCTTTCTGATATTATATTCTGTGATTATATTCCTTAAAATTTAATTTCGAGTTAACTTTTCTCATCATTTTCTTTAGTTAAATTTCTCTTTAATTTAATTAATTTTGTAAATAAGTTTTTATAATTTAAATTTATCATTTGGTTTGTATACTTCCAAAAATTTTCAAATAAGTAATTTCTCATTATTGGTTTTGAGACTCTATTAAATTTTATTAAACTACAATAATTTATTTAGAAACTTAACCAAATTATACAGATTTATTTAAACATTTAAATAAATCGTAAGAATTTATTTAACAGTCAATACAATTGAATCGATTTTTATAATTTATCTGAATTTTCAAATATACCTCTATAATTTAACAAGGGGTTAATTGCAGTTACAGGATAAAAACTCATTTGAATTATTTTAAAATATAGCAATCAAACTATAAATTTTCAAACAATAAATGTTTATTTGAAAATTTAATGAAATTATACCGATGTATAGAACAATTCAGCTAATTTTTTTTATCACCTTAGTAGAATTTTATAGCAGATTTTGTTGACTGTCAGAAACTCCGTATTAAATCCATTCTTCCTCGTCAAATTTGAACTGAATTTAAATTATTGACCCATTCTTAAAACTAATTCTGTTCACGCATAATATGGTTCAGCGTTGTTAAATTCGATCAGGATACTGGATCATTCAGTCATTAGTCGGATCGATTGACTTGGATATATATAGAAATATAAAAATATATATAAATATGAACATATAAATTCAATTATATTCTTCGTATCTAAAATGAATTAAATAAGGTTCAAAAACATAAAACATAAATAAATAAAAATACATGTTATTACTATGTTAATTTAAATTGCTACTCAGAATTCACATAAACATAGCTCTCAATGACATTGAACTCATATTTTTCAAACTCAACTACATTAAAATGACATATGTCACATTCTCTAATTTATTATTCCGCAAATTGTTTCAGTGTTGAAAACTAAATTTTGAGGTTATTGTAGAAAAGTATATTAGTAAATAAAATTACAAAAAATTTTAAAATGAGTTCTACATTTTTTTATGATAAGATGAAACAATTTTGGTTTTTTTTTTTAATGCATGATCCGACCGGGTCATTGATTTTGATCAATTTTGTCTGGATTTTGAACGGGTTTGATCGAGTCGATGCATGAACAGTCCAATACTTGACCCAAACCGATCTGATAATTGATTCGTCGGATTCTGGATCGACCCAACCGAGTTGGGCCGGGTTTTATAAGAGTGTTATGACTGCTTATTATTGGTAATGAAGAGCTTATTTTTGGACATATATATTTTATGGATTTGGGTAGTTTTCGGTTGTTGTACAGCTACACAAAATCCCAGCTCTTAAAAATGGTCTCATTTTATTATAAATATAATTGGAAAAATTGAAAAATAAATGACAACCGTTAAGTTTATACTTTATTGATTTCTAAATTACCATCCAATTCCATATTTTTATATGGGTGTTATTAATCTCATGTTAAAGGGGATCAGTTATCTCATGTATAAAGACAAACTTGTGGGCCCCACTATTTATAAAAAATAAAATAAAATAAAAAAGCTCATGATACCCACTTTTTTATTAGTGCAGGAGAGAGAACTTATCTTCTTTAATATAAGAAAATGTTTTCCCTTTTTATATAGGTTTTTGTTTTTGTTTTTTTGTGCGTTCCATTTGAAGCTTCCAAAATATTTGGGCCCCACCCTAAATCACGCACCCCAAGTCGCTAAAAGCCTAAATAGTTGACAAATGTGGTTATAAGTTCTAACTACTAATCTGCCAAATTAGACACCGCACAGCAAAACGCCACTCAAAGCCTCATCAATAGCCTGGTAGGTATTGGGAACCATACCGATCATAACAGAAGCAGTAGTTTATCCACACACACACACACACAAAAAAACAGAAGCAGTAGTATTTTATCGTGTGTATGCTTACTGTAGTGCTAAAAAAGTTTTAATTAACTAATTGGGGGAGGGATCATATTGCGTCACAGAGTTGGTGAACGGTGCTGATTCATCCTCCTACTTGGCCTGGTTTCGCTATCAATTTAATTAGCAATTACAACATTTATTGGCAGCGAATGAAGAATTAGAAATCTTTGATTATATATTAATGTCCCTCTTTGTTCCTGATCGCTTAATTTCTTGCATTAACTCAATTTGTCTTCCAAAATGAAGAGAAGTCCTTTTAATTCAAAGTTTCCAACTACTTTCCGCCCTTTTTCACTGGAATTATTGAATCCACTGATGTACTCGGCACATAGAAGTATAGAACCCCAATTTCAGTTGTTGATTGCAGCCACCAAGCCACCCACCTATTGCAGTTGTCTTTCATATATCTTTCTATAGCCACCAACCCACCATATCTACGGATAATTTGACAATCTGGATGAAACTTTGATCGATGATTTGTTTTAGCAAACACTTGCTCTTGCATTTACCAAACATTCATACATTTCCACACTTACAACAAGTTTTTTATTTTGTTTTTGGTCAAGAGATGTGACAATTATTTATTCTGTGGACAACATGGGTTGTGTAAGGTTTGTGCGAAACAGCAGCTAATCAGAGATATATATATTAAAATAAAGTATGATATAATTTTAAAAATTAGATATTCCTATAAAATATACATAAATAATTTATTTATTTTCATAAAGCATAAGTCATTACATGACAAACAATCTTATCCACATAAAATTCCCTCGTAAATTTCACTCAGTTTGTACTCTTTACACGGCCCATGATCTTCAGATGAACAAAATACAGCGCGGGCCCATAAAGAGATAAGATCTTACTTTGAGGCCCAAACAAGCCCATCTGACACTTGTATTGCATTCGCGCTTCACCGAAGAAATAAGACCGAGTGGATCTGAGTTAAACCCAGTCTGAGTAACTTCATCAACTCGTTCGCGCTCTGGGACGAAAACAGAGAAAGGAAGGTGCAGAAAGAGATGGAGGAAGAAGAGCTAAACAATGATACAAACAAGAAGAAGAGCTCGGTTGTGATAAAAATACCTTCGTATCAAGAAGTGGTTCAAAGCTCGCAAGCGAAATCAACTCCACCGTCTCTGTTCGTTCCCTCCCAAACCTTTTCTGAAGCCTTTGCGTTCCTCAAATCCTCCGAGTTCTACTCTCCTCCTCCTCCTCCTCTCTCAAGGTAGGTCATTTATATTTCTAAATTGTTTTATGTTTATCATCATCATCATCATCATCGTCATCATTATTATTCTTATCTTTTCGCGTTAATTAATTTTGATTAGGGAAACTGGTTCATTGGATGCTCCATCTTCAACGTCGACATCATCTGCTACTTCTATTTCTGCAGCTTCATCGACATTGCCGTCCTCTAAACTCACTCAAACTCGCAATGCAATTCTTGTGAGCCACAGACAGGTCAAATCATTATATGTTAATTAAGGCTCTCTTTTTTTTTTTATATATTATATTTGTTAGAAAATGGATTTTCTTTTCCGTTTTACAGAAGGGAAACCCCTTGCTCAAACATATTAGGAACGTTAGATGGACATTTGCTGATGTTGTTTGTGACTACTTGCTTGGCCAAAGCTCCTGTGCTCTCTACATCAGGTTTTTTTTTTTTTTTTTTTTTTTTTGAAATTGTTTGGTTTGTGATGAAGTTAAAGTTGGTACTACACAGGATGTGGTGGAATTTGTTTTTTACAGTCATTAGTGTCACGACAAATTAAAACTTGAATGACTAGTGCCAATCCTTGCTAGTTTCTGTTTTTGAAGCCAAGTGCTTTTTTATTATTTAAGCAAGTTTTGCTAGTCAGAATGCGTTTTGCAAAAAAATTGGACCAGTTGTTGAATTTTCGTATCAATTCTTATGATTTGACAAGTTCCATATCACAAGGAACAAGAAGAACACAGAGAAGAGGAATACTCAAACTCATTGATTGAAGAAGAAAATGATACAAAAGATACAGTAGCGGTTAACACAGCAGCTATATATATCAATAGCTTTAACTGTCTACTAACGTCCAACTAACCGATACACGTGCACAATCAGTAAGCAAGTAAACTAATAGGCATGACACGTGTGCTAAGCTTCTACGTATGCATAGCTGTATTGGTGAGCTGGTTATTGATTGGTAACACCCCCCACAAGCTGGACTGTGGATCTCTAGCAGACCAAGCTTGTCCATTAAGTGATGAAACGCTGAAGGAAGCAGAGCCTTAGTAAAAGTATCTGCAACTTGAGCTTTTGTAGAAATGGGAAGGAGATGCAATAAGCCGGCTTGAATCTTTTCTCTGGTTATGTGACAATCTAACTCAATGTTTTAGATCTCTCATGGAAGACCGGATTATGAGATAGATGTATAGCAGATTTGTTGTCGCAGAATACAGGAGCTGGTTTTGGTTGAGGGATATGAAGATCCTTAAGAAGATAAGCCAGCCATTGTAATTCACATGTAATGGCTGCTAAGGCACGATATTCCGCTTCGGTAGAAGAACGGGGTACAGTTGTTTGTTTCTTGGAACGCCATGAGATGAGAGACGAACCAAGAAAGATAGCAAAACCAGTAACAGACCTCCTTGTATCTAGGCAGCATGCCCAGTCTGCGTCTGCAAAACCACTAAGCTGAAGACTAGTTGAAGCTGAAAAGAAGAGACCTTTTGCAGGTGAAGCTTTCAAGTATCTGAGTATACGATGGGCTGCATTGAAATGAACATCAGTAGGTGCAGCAAGGAACTGACTGAGTTGTTGAACACTAAATGTGATATCTGGGCGTGTGGTGGTCAAATAAAGAAGAAGGCCAATGAGACGTCTATATAAAGAAATGTCAGATATAGGTTCACCAAGTTTTCGATGAAGCTTCAATGAAAGATCCATGGGTGTTGAGGCGGGTTTGGCTGCTGTTAGACCAGTATCAGAAAGCAGTTCTAAGGTGTATTTTCTCTGGTTTAAGAGAATGCCATGTGAAGACCGAGTGACCTCTAAACCCAGGAAGAAACGAAGACTGCCCAGATCTTTGATTTTGAAGCTATCATCAAGGAATGCTTTCACACGCTTGATTTCATACATGTTGTCACCAGTCAAGACAATTCATCCACATACACAAGGATAGCTGTGAAATGGGATTCATGTTTTCGGGTGAATAAAGAAAAATCAGCAGATGATTGAATGTATCCTATTGAGATCAAAGCTGTGGAGAGCTTGGAATACCATTGGCGACTAGCTTGTTTAAGCCCATATAGAGATTTTTCCAATTTACATACTTAATTAGAATCAGAACAATGTATGCCTGGGGGAAGTTCCATATAAACTTCTTCATTTAAATCACCATGAAGAAAGACGTTATTGACGTCTAGTTGTTCCAGGTTCCATTTCATAGCTGCAGCAATTGATAAAAGCAAACGGACAGTTGTTAATTTTGCAACAGGGCTGAACGTATCTAGATAGTCAAGCCCTTCTGTTTGAGTGTAGCCTTTGGCTACTAATCTAGCTTTATGACGCTCTATGCTGCCATCTGCACGATACTTAATCTTATACACCCACTTACAACCAATCGTGCGTTTTCCAGGTGGAAGATCAACAAGAGACCAAGTCTTATTATGTTCAAGAGCAGAGAACTCATTCTGCATTGCTTTCTGCCAGCACTCATGTTTAGAAGCTTGGGAGTAAGTTTTGGGTTCAACCTGGGATGTGACATTAAGACAGAAGCTTTTGTATTTGGAAGAACAGTTATTGTATGTAAGGACATCAGACAGAGGATATGAAATGAGATTGGATGAAGATGCATTACCTGAATGTGATGATTGATGAAGATCTGTAATTGATAGATTACAGTGATAATCATGTAGGTATGATGGTTGTGTTTTGTTTCTTTGTGAACGTCTATGCATAGCTTCATTTGGTGGTTGCTGTGTAACTGTTTGTTCTTCAGGCATTGGAGTGTTTTGGGTAGTGGGAGGAGAAGAGATGAGATCCGAATAGTCTGGGTTATGTGTTTCATGTATGATGGAATTTGATGTATCATGATTAATGTTATGAGGAATGAAAGGAAAATGTTTTTCAAAAAAGATAACATTCCTGGAAACAAAAACTTTTTGAGTATTGATGTCAAGAAAAGTATAACCTTTTATGCCTTGCTGATATCCAAGAAAAACAGACTTGGTGGCTCGAGGTGAGAATTTTTGGCGATGAGCTTTGAGAGTTGTTGCATAGCTTAGACACCCGAAGACTTTGAGATGTGAAAGGTTAGGAGGTTCTCCATGAAGCTTCTGATAGGGAGTGTCATTTTGCAGCAAAGGGGATGATAGTCTGTTGATTATGTGAACAGCATGTATAATGGCAAAAGACCAGAAATGAAGTGGGATTTTAGATTGGAAGACAAGGGCCCTAGCAACATTTAAAATGTGCTGATGTTTTCTTTCAACTAAGCCGTTTTGTTGAGGATTCTCTACACAACTTCTTTGGTGTAAGATCCCTTTGGTTTGATAAAAATCTGGCATAATAAACTCAGGTCCATTGTCACTTCTAATAGATCTTATATTAGTGTGAAATTGGTTTTCAGCGAAAATGATAAATTCCTTGAGCTTGCTTCGGGTTTCAGATTTATTTTTAAGTAGAAGAGTCTAGGTGTATCTTGAGAAATCATCAACTATTGTTAGAAAGTATTTGTGTCCATGTATGGATGGTAAAGAATATGGACCCTATAAATCAACATGTAAAAGTTGAAAAATAGACTTGGTTTTATTAGTACTGGATGGATAAGGGAAGTTGTGTTGTTTTGCAAAATGACAAACATCACAAGGTGAAATATCTTTGCAAGAAATATAAGGAAATCTTATTGACATCTGTTTTAAAACTGAATGAGAAACATGTCCTAATCTATGATGCCAGATAGATGCATCATCTTTTGAAGATACATTGGAAGTAGATTTATTAGCTGGTAATTGGGAAACAATGGGAAAAACTTTCTGGTCTGCATTCTGATCTCTGAGTAGTTGAGTCCTTAACACGTATAATCCATCAATTACATTAGCTGAACTAATCATCATATTTGATGGTATCTGCTTAATCATACAACCAGAATTATGAAAGGTTAGATAACAAGGAATGTCATGCAGTAACTTTGTAACAGAGACAAGGTTAACTTGAAAAGTAGGAACATATAGGACATTATGAAGAATAAGGTCATGAGAGATATGCACAGTTCCTGAAAGTTGAGCCTGTGATTTCGACCCATCAGGAAGTGAGATGGAAATGGGATTGATTTTTCTAAATTCAGAAAATTGTGAAAGTGAGAAACTGATATGGTCAGTGGCTCCAGTGTCAAGGAGCCATCTGCCTGATGAGTTACCTGCTGAGTTTACATTCAAGGCCGTGGTCTGAATCATGTTTGTTGAACAGATTGGTGTTTCTAGTTGTGTAGGTTTTTGATGAGTGAAGGCAGTTAAGAGGCTTTCATACTCCTCTTTAGAAATAGTCACATTGGATTCTTGAGTATCTTGAATCTCTATAGCATCTGTACTGTCATCTTGTGAAGAAAAATTTGCAGCATTTCTTGATTTGTAATCGGGTGGGAACCCATGCTTTTTGTAACAAGTATCGATGGTGTGGTTTGTCCTTCCACAGTGAGTGCATATTCTCACATTGTTCCCACGTCCTCTTCCAAAGATATTTGGTATTCCACGTCCTCTTCCTCTGAAGGAAATTCCTCTTTGATTATTATTAGCTGAGCTATGAAATATTCTTGAATCATTTCCAAGCTGACTCACATTTAATTCACATTGAATCTGCCTTTCTTGCTGAACCACTAAAGAAAAGACAGTGTTTATATTTGGCATTGGCTTCATCATCATCACTTGAGATCTTACATGACCATATTGATCATTAAGACCTTTAAGAAATCTTACTGTGCGATCACAGTTTCGGTATTCACGCATTAAAGGATATCCATTACAAGAACACCTTAATGCACAGCTACATGTTGGTAAGGGCTTTAAATTGTCCAACTCATCCCACATAATTTTCATGTTTGTAAAATAGTCAGTAACAGAAAACTGACCTTGTTGCATTTGATAAACTTGTTCTTGAATGTCAGAAATTCTAAAAATATCTGAATGTGAAAATCGAGCTTTGAGATCATTCCAGGCTTCATTTGCTTGATTGATCCAAAGAATTGACTTGGCAATAGAGGTACTGATTGATCGATGAATCCAAGAAAGAACTATGGTATTGCAACGCTCCCATGCTTGAAAGGTGGGATCATTATTTTCTGGTTTCAGAATTGTTCCATCAATGAAACCAAGTTTATTTTTGGATAAAAGAGCCATACTCATTGATCTGGCCCAAGAATGGTAATTTGTGGGATCTAATGGTGGTGTAACAAGTATTAAAGCTGGACTTTCATTTGGGTGTAGGAAGAAAGGATTACTGGGATTGGTATGAAAATCTGGAAGAGGGTTAGCCATTGAAATCAAGAATGGCAGAAAATTTGATCGAAAGAAAAAGGAAGAAAGAAAGGAAAGTTTGTAACAGGGTAAGGAAAAATTGTAGCAGCTGAAGCTTGGTTACCAGAGCCAAAAGAGCTCTGATACCATCTTATGATTTGATAAGTTCCATATCACAAGGAACAAGAAGAACACAGAGAAGAGGAATGCTCAAACTCATTGATTGAAGAAGAAAATGATACAAAAGATACAATAGCGGTTAACATAGCAGCTATATATATCAATAGCTTTAACTGTCTAACTAACGTCTAACTAACTGATACACGTGCACAATCAGTAAGCAAGTAAACTAATAGGCATGACACGTGTGCTAAGCTTCTACGTATGCATAGCTGTATTGCTGAGCTGGTTATTGATTGGTAACATCAATTGGAAAAAAGTAATTATACCATGTGAATTAATTAAGTGAATCAACTGTGTTACATTGAACTTTCTGGTTTATCATCATGCTTGTAGAACTGGTTGTTCTAGATTCCTTGTCGCTTGTGTGTGGTTTTTTTGGATATCTGAGAAGTTGTTATTGTTCTGCTAGATGACTTTAATATAGTTATATTTATGCATCAACTTGACTTAAGTGGATGGTTTGATGCAGTCTTCGGTATCATCTGCTGCATCCAGACTACTTATATTATAGAATAAGGGAGTTGCAGAAGAATTTCAAGCTTCGTGTAGTTTTATGCCATGTTGATGTGGTCAGGCACCCTGTTATATACTTATTCAGACCTCTATAGTATCAATTTTAGTTTATGTTTCCCAATGATCTATCGGGAAATTTATAATTTAAATTTTAGCTGTTCTGTTATCTACATGAAGTAAGTGATATTTTCCATGTTTTCATTTCTTATTGATTGCAGGAGGATGTAATGAAGCCTCTACTTGAAGTTACAAAAACAGCTTTGCTTCATGAATGTACCCTTCTATGTGGATGGAGGTACAATTGACACTCCTTTTAACTGCTTGTGAAGTATGCATAATGAAGATATCATTTTTTCTCAATTCTTAGGAGTGGGAGGGTGCTGCTATCATCTACTATACTTCAATGAACTTATTGAATTCTTATTAGTAAATATCATGTCGCTACCAAACCTCTTATTAAGGGTGAAAGTTTGTTGGTGTAAGTTGCAACTTGATGAAGAATGTTAACCATAGTAGTTAATAGCGCCGCAATAGCACCGCGAGCCGCGCCGTATGGGCAGTGCGGTGCCTTGCCGCAAGAAACCGCGCCACGCCGTACCGGAACGCAATAGCGGCCATTGTGATCGCATTCGCGGCCATGTTGCTATCATAAGGCAAAATGTTAATGTTGTCCTAAATTTAAATGTGTAACATAAAAATTTTAAGGGTTTTTTTAGCCTATCTGTGTCTCTCTCTGTCACTTATGTTATCTCTGCCTTTAAAAAATGTTTCTTTTTGTCATTATTTCTGTCATATATCTATTCTGCTATTTCCGCAAACGCAACCCGCTACAATGCTATAGCGTTTCTCGGGGTTGGCCGCGACGTGCCGCAATCCGGATTTGATAACTTTGATGCTAACGTGACTAGCTACTTCTTAGCTTTTAACTGCTTTTATGACTGATTTATAGAATGTACATCTTGAAAGGATAGAAGCTAATTGTAGTTTCCTGTGGTGCTTTTGTTTTAGCAGAATTAGTGGCATTTAGAGGAGCTTGGGTAACTGTGGCATGCATATGAATTTTATTATCTATAGTACCATCTGGCAAGATTCCTGTAACCTGTCTAATTGATTTCATTATCATTCCATTGTACTGTTATAGCCTGGAGGAATGTGGTCGTTACTTGGAGACCATAAAAGTATATGAAAACAAGCCTGCAGACATTATTCAAGGCCAAATGGATACAGACTATCTATCACGGGTATGCTTATGATTTTTTCTCTATACATTAATTTATCATGGGTTTTAGTACTTTCAAAAACAAAATATTAAGGCGGCAGTTTTTAAGTTGATTAACTTCTAAGCATGGTCATTAAATTTTCTTAAGCTATGTTACTTTCAACTGTAGCTCACACATGCCCTTACAACGGTTCGGCATGTTAACAAGACTGATGTAGTCACCCTTGGTACCACATTTGGGGTATGTATGTCAGTTTTTAGCACACACAGACACAAACATATATTGATTGATATTATTTGCAAAGGCCTTTTCATCAAGCTGAATCCTTGTCTTTTCAGTCTCTATCCCACATTATGGGTGCATCTATGGAGGATCTAGCTCGTTGTCCTGGCATAGGAGAGCGCAAGGTATATTACCAGTGCTGTAAGTGGGATAGGACAATGATCTGCACTTATTTTTGTGTGGCTGTGGTTGCATGATTTGGTGCCACAGCTAATAGTGACAAACCAAAAGGACTCTGAATATTTTGTACACTTCCTGATATCAGGTCAAGCGCTTGTTTGACACTTTTCATGAACCCTTCAAGCGTGTGGAATCTAGCAGGCAAGCCATTCCAGAGACTTCTGTCCAGAACAAGCCAGCAAGTCCAGATACATCAACCAGGAACAATGCTGAACCTTCCTCCTCAGCTGAAGACAAGCAGAAGGATGTAGAAGACGTGACCAAAAGGAGGAAGAAAGAACCTGAATTTACTGTCAAATCTGCCCTTTCTGCAGCATTTGCCAAATATTCTGACAGAGTTGGGAAGGGGAGAAGCACTTCACACGTGGAGGAAAAAGAATAATCAATTCTTTCAGAGAATAAGAAGCTGAAGCATAAAATTACCATGAAGCTTTTGACTATGATTTTCTCTTGAAACTAGGCTTGATTTATAATCTCTGTGCATCTCAAGCCAGTGTGGAACTACTCTTTGGTCTAGAAGCAATCTGGGCTACTTTTTCTTGGTTGTGGAACTTCGCTTTCCTCCACATATATATTTAGGGTAGAGTTGGGGTTGTACAGGTTTAGAAGGAATTTGAGAGGTTTGAATTTAACTACTGGTTACAATAAAATAAGTACATAACGTTTACTTAGCAAAATAACTAAATTACAATAATAAAAAAAAGGTATTGAGTTATGAGTGATGACCATGCTGAGGCACTTATGATCTATCTCCTGGGCATTTTTGGCTCACGTTTTGTATATTGCGTTTCTCCACGTTACCAAGATGGCAATAGAAAAGTGATTTCTCCTTTTCATGATGAAATAACTGATAGAATGTGGAAAAGGATATTTCATCCCCAAGATTCCAAGCGTTGCATGTAGTCAAACACTCTACAGGTAATAGTTGTTAAAGATTTGGCTCTTCCTTTGTTCGCACTGGTTGGTAACTTTCATTTGTCTTGATTCCGAGGGTCAGTTGCAATGACTATTTTGCTGCATCTTCTTAGCATGGAAATATCCATTAAAATGATCTGCATGGATATATGTTGTGGTCACATGCTTTTTGGGGAATCCCTCGCATTCAGTCAGTAATATAGTGAGTCCAAACAGGTCAGTATTATTCCATTATCTCCTTCATATCTGTATATGTTAGTATTTCTCTTTATAGAAAAATGACTCAGCTTTCAATAGAGTTGTCCAGTTGCACCTTATGATAATGCCTAAAATAGAGCTCTGTGCCAATTGCCAGATAGAAAGAAGCTAGACTTGGTCGATCTACCCCTGCTTGTAAGTGGAAGTATGATCTACCCCTTCTATTTTCCGTTGGCCAAAATTGATTCAGTCTGATTTGGAAGTATGCTATTCTTTTTTCATGCAGCGAGTTACGGGATTTAAGAAGGAAACCAAACTCTCGTAAATGAATGGATCTTAGTTTCATCATATTAAAGAAGAAATGTTCTACTCACAATAGCGATAGAACTTTTAAAGTTCATATCCCTCTTAGTTTTGTACCACGTATCTTAGTATGCTTATCGTAACAAAGCCAATCTAAAAAAAGGTGTTAATATTCCATGTGGATATTAAAATTATAAAAAGATTAAAACATCAATAATTAAATGTGTTCGTGACTGAATGCAAATGATTTTATCCTTATTGGCCCTTTAGGCAGATTTAAATTGTCATTCTGTTATGCATTTTTTTCCTCCTCTCCTTTCCGCTGTTGAAGGTGGTAGGGGTGACGAAATTCCGCTGTTCCAAGTTGCCAATTGGATGATGCCCCCATCAAGTATGATATTGCATTTTCTTTTTGGCCTTATGTCTATCCAAGCACTATTTCAGTAAGAACAAAAAGCAATTACTTCTAGGATGCTTCTGCCCTTCTCAAACATAACGTTGAAGAAACATAATGCACACCTAATGACTTGGACTCGGTGTTTGTTTCAGAAATCTAAGTGAACTGGATGAACTAAGAGAAGATGGGTTCCTAACAAGGGGTACTAATGATTGTACAACATCTGTCATGAGCGGCCTGTAATCAGCTTCTGGCTGTATGCACATTGCTGCAATGGCAGCTATCTGTAAAACCCATACCAGCAAAAACCAAATGGTTAGTTGATGGGAAAAATATTAGTTTAAGTCATCAAGTGATAATGATGAGAATAAGTGAATAACAATGGCTAAACGAAACCAAGTTTGACCTGAATTAAATCCTTCTTTGAGTACTGTCCGCGTATAGCTGGGTCAACCATTTCCACCACCTTTTCTCTATTTGTTAACCTTGGAAGAGCCTAATGAATAACAAAGATCAGATGTTACAAAATAAAATATGACAATATAACAAACTCAATTATCAGAATACATAAATCAGAAATGGTTGTCACAGGTTGGATTTCTCATTAGTATTCTGGTATGAACCCTTGGCATTTTTTTTTTTCTCCTTCAATTTAAAACAAAATCGTTTTAAAAAATGGCAGAGTGCTATTTACTAACCCAAGAGACAAGGACATGTTCTCCAGGGGCCCGCTTAATATCAACTGGGACCCTTCCTGTTAGCAGTTCAAGAAGAACCACGCCATAGCTGTAAACATCTGACTTTGTAGTAAGCTTGCCTGTGGAGGCGTACCTACATTATGCCAAAATTCAAGCGACAAAATCAATTTATGCTACAAATTATGAAGCAAATGTAAATATATATATATATATATATATATAATGAATGGTCTGCAATATGAAATTTATATCAGTCATAAAGATACTCTAGTATTTAAAAAATTACAGCATGGTTGATAGGGACTTAGACTGTGACCATGTGCATGGTTCTTTCTTTAACACTGCAAGTTATGTACTAGGAGTGGGTGAAGATAAGGCAAGGTGCTTCCAAATGACAGATGAAATGGGGTATTGATATTACTTACTCTGGTGCCAGGTATCCAGTGGTCCCCAACACACGGGTGGAAACCTGACCGTTCATCTTCTCTGACCCCATCTTAGCCAATCCAAAATCTGACACCTTAGCACGGAAATTTTGATCCAGTAGAACGTTGTTACTCTTGAAGTCTCGGTGGATCACAGGTGAGACTGCATGTTCATGTAGGAACTCAAGGGCCCTGGCACAATCAAGGGCTATCCTCATCCGGGCCCACCAATCCAACGGTTGAGTTTGATTGTTGGGGGAGTGAAGATGTTGTTGGAGTGTACCATTGGGCATGTATTCAAATATCAATAACCTGTGATGTTGGTCAGCACAATAGCCAAGCAATTCCACTAAATAAGGAGAGTGCAAGCGGCTTAGAAGATCGACCTGCAATGAATGTCATTTAGTCTTCACACCCCATGTGCTAGATTTGAATAAAGCTCATAATATGAGTTGGCGTGTGGGAATGGGCTGATGGAAAGATAAGGGGGGGTTTGCATTCCTATTTTCATGGTCCCAATTTTGATTGCAAAACGTCAGAGAATTCTTTTTAAATTAGAGTTAACATAAAATGTCTTATCTGTCAGTATTTGAAATACCAAGGAATAAGTTATTAAGATTTTTATTCACTAGTAGTGTAGAATTCAAATGATTCGACAACTCATATTGTGTAGTTTTATGAAGGATATTTTTTAATCCTTAACATTCTTTCACTGTTAAAAAAAAAAATATAAGGAGTTAGATATAGACTTTGGAATAATTTTCATCCCTAACTACTACCATTGCTCAAGTCAAATGTGATGCCATAAAGTAGGATAGGAGCCACAGAGTTTATTAAGGTTATCATTTGATAGGTTGTAAAAGTCCTTTCTAACATTAAAGTAACCTGTTCGTTACGACTTGCTTTTTGTTCTCAATTTTCTTAGGCAACAACAACCAATAGAAGTTTCAGCTTAATAAGAAGACAAAAACAAGGTCTCTGAACCAACTGGATATAATACAAGGAAAGAAGACAGAGAGCAAATAACAACAAAGAGATCTTAAATCATTGCGTGCCAAAAACAGAAAGAGATATTATAATCATTAAAAGAAGTCCACTCACTCACCTCTATTCTGAAGGCACGCTCCCTGTGCTTACCTTCACTGTGCAGCAACTTAATTGCTGACAAAGTGCCATCACTCAGGACTCCTCTATACATCAAACCAAACCCTCCATTACCAATCACATTAGCTTCATTAAATCCTTCCGTGGCAACTTCTAGTTCCCTATACGTGAACACTTGTACTCCTCGAAACTTAGGTGATGGTGTCATGTTCAGATTTCCCCCATGAAGACACCCACCCTTCACATCTGCAATTAATGTTTCCAACCATTTATTCATTGATCTTCTGAACCTTAATGCCTAATAATATGTTTAAAGACATGTTTGAATTAACATTGAAAACAATTAATGATATACTAGCTACAACAAATTCATGTGTTCATTTGCATAAGAAGTTATAATTCATAGCTAGAAACTAATAAGGTTTCATATTTAGTATCTGTTCCACCAACTAAGAAACTGTTTGCAAATAATTGATAACATGTGCTACTAGTTACCTGGGCTAGAATTAACGTTCAAAGTTGTTGAATCCATGAGCTTGCTGCTTGTGTTATGAAGCACTCTATTGTCATCTTTGCAAGTTCCATTCTTGCTTGAAGATTTTTTCCGACGGATCAAGAATACTACCAGAAAAATGATAAATAGGACAGTGACTAAGGTGACTGCAGCTATGGTTATGAAAATGGTTCTGGATGGTAAATGGCCATGACTATGGTTATGATTTTCTGAATGTAAGTGGTGCTGTGTGTATGTATGGTTGTTTGGAGAAGCAGTGGGTGGCCCTGAAGGTACTGAGGTAGTAGTATTAACTTCCATGAGTGACCACAATGAAAAGAAAAAAGAAAAATAAAAAGAAATTAAATGGCTTTCTGTTTGAGTTGGAAAAGGAGGTTGTGATGGGAAAGCAGAGATGTAAGAGAGGGTAAGGAAGAGGGGTTATGTTTATAGTAGTAAAAAATGGGGGATACAAGTGAGTATGTGCTAGTTTTGAGCTTCCTTTCCTAAGAGGGCAGGTCATCCTTTATATTTCTCGTGAATATTTAATCAAGTGGTTTTGGTGTACTTCATTTGTCTCTTCTTTTGTTCTTTTCTAAGGAATTGTCTCTTTCTTTATACTAGAAAACATTGGAACTTTAGGCACCATCTTCCAATCATGCTTTCCCTATAATAATTCCCCCTAATTATAGACTATCTTCATTCTGCTTTGTTGAAACCACATTGCATTTTATAGCATGTCTTTTTCTCATCCTTCTTTGGAAAAAGAAAACAAAAATATAATTTGTGCTTTTGGGCTAGCTGATGAGTAGGAAGTTATTATCTGCTATTGTTGCTGTGAGGGTCAACCCGTTCGACCACTTTTGAGAGTGAAATAAAGGGATGAATTAGCTGTGCAATTTGTGTCATTTAGCAAGTTTGTATTTCCACTAGTCACTGTTAATAATAGTACCCCCAGTGGTCACCTGCTTAACTCAAAATGGCAGAGAATTTTGTGCTTAAACGTATGGATGCTCTCTGATCAAGTAAATAATTTTCCATTATGTATATCATTCTATTTGGTTTATTAATTATTCATTTGGTTCTGAACGCTAGCTGAAGAGAAAGGACAAAAACACTTGCTTTTATTAGATACTGCAATTAATTAATCTAATTAAGAAACTTATACAAGCCATTTTAACTGCTCTTTGTCCTAGCTCGTTTTTATTTCAGGATGATTTGATTGCATTGGACTAACATTAATTAATATCTCCTAGATTAATTAATAGAGGACATTGTGTTATGCCAAGCATATTCATCTCATACTGAGTATATCCCTTAATTAGAGTGAAATAGCTAAGTTTTGCTCAAGTAAAAACTTTCTGTGATTAGTAAGGGTAAATTTTATATGGGTTTTACATGTCTTGTGTGGTAGGAGAAAAATTATTTTATGTTGTGAGACAAACAAAGTGTAACATCCCCGTCTCGAGCCGGTTCAATTAACATACATATGATAAAACAGAAAACAGCGGAAGACTTAACTTCTGAAAATACGAGCTAACTTTTTCTTTTTCTTTTTAAATCTTACTCGGGGTAAACGAAAATCGGGCAGAGTTTCCTCTATAAATCGGACAACTGGGGATTTTCCAGTCCCACTCAGAAGCATTTCCTGATAAACAGTTTATACAGCATAGTAATCCAGAAGTACCAGTCATGCAGATACAATCAGATACCCATCCATGGGCGCATGCAAAATATGGCTCCGTGCCACTATCCTAATCAACATGCAATCCAATACGAAATCATAAACTGAATAATACATCATCATATGACGTGCCTGAATACCCAAATGTACATGCATCCAAGTGACAGACATGTACAAAACATATACAGGCCATATACAAAATAAAGGATCAATATCATGATCCATCAAATGCGAAAATACTAAAATACATCAAACACTCCAAAAAGGTAGTAGCCTACAGCCACTCAAAATCCGGTCTGTCAACTGCCTCAGCCACGTGTCGTGTCCCTGCCTAGTGAGGACTCACCGGGAATCTGGGCACCTGAAATATATCCCCAAGAGGGGTGAGATTACAAATCTCAATAAGCTCCAGGTTTATAGAGAATTCTCCATACCCCTGGCTCACTCCTGCATGAAAGTCAGATACAGAGTATACAAATACAGCATATAACAGATATCCTAACAGAACAGAGCATATATCCATATCATATCAGAGATGTGCGTCGTCATTCCCAAGGGAGGACCCCAAGCGAAAATCAACGCACGTGTTCCCGAGGGAGGACCCCAAAGCGGAACCAGACATATCAGAGGCGTACACCATCAGTCCCGAGGGAGGACCCCAAAGCGGACATCCGGGTACTATACAATCAATGGCCAGAGATTGTTACAGAAATCATATTACAGAAGTCATATCAGAGCAAAACATATCATGTTATCAAATAACTCTATATGAATGCATCTATCCAAAGCATCTAAATCACAGTCATACAGTCCAACCATAGTCACTAACCATGGTGGAGCACTCAAGCAGGAAAAGACTCCTTAAACATAGAGCTTACCTCTTGAAGCTTTACCAATACGCTTACTTGTGGACCAAGTTACTTTTATCGCTTCAAGAGATTTCCGATCCTTCTCAATCCCTAGGCACACCTAGAGAATAATTTACAATGCATCAATAAAATGATACTATGCCATGATTATTTCATAAGCATACATTTTATTGTTTACTTTCCTTTCTTTATATTTTTGCCAATATTATGCCAATACACAAGTCTAGCCCATTTTAACCAGTCATTCATATAATTTCATGTATTGTACTCAACACTTTAACCAATTAATACATGCTCTATCTCTATTTATTTTTACCCTATTAGGCTAAAAATCCTAGAAGGAAGGCTAAGGGTTTTCTTTCTTGTCCATTTGTTTTCCTTCACTTAATTTAATACTCTACATACATAAACGTACCTCTCCTAAATTCCAACAAAACTTTTGGAACTCAAGCCTTATAAACCATCAAGGCCGAACCTCAAGGGGGTAGGTTTCCAAAAGATTTCTTTCCAATTAATCATTCATATCACTTTACACTAAATTACAACATGTTTTTCCTTGTCAATAAATGCAATAAGAATTTACACACTAACCCCCTAAACTCTACAAGGCCGAGCCATCAAGGGGAGGAGGCATAAAATTTTCCTTCAATTTATTAAATACATAATCATGCTTATCCTTCCATTTACACATACAAATTATCACTTATTCCTCTTCATTACATTTTTAACCCACCAAACCTTCACATCCATGGCATGTATATATGATTTTATAACTTATATAACCTCACATTAACATGGAAGTGAAGATTTGTTACCTCAATATCACAAATCAAGACCTAGGAGCCTTCCATCAAGTAGAACTTCATGGAAAACTTCATCTTCTTCAAGTGGTGAATAGTGCCACGGTTTTGGGAAGGAAAATAACTCCTCCTACACTCTACAATAGCTCACATGGAGGGTTGGAATGGCTTCATTGTGTGGTTTCCATGCATTTTCATGTAGTGGGTCATGTATTTTGGTGGAAGATTCAAAGGAAATCAAGCAAAAAAATCAACAAACCCTATCTCTTTCTTGTAACACCCCGTTCTAGAACCGGATTGTTATCATTGCGTACGGCATTAAGCGCAGTTACAATCACATTGGTTCAATTAGAAAACCGGATAAATTTTTCCTCTTTATACAAGCCGGATTCAAATAACCAAGTGCGTGATCATAACTATATATACTTCGCGGAATAGTGGGACAAAACTTAAGATTATATTCCCATTATACTTGACAATACGTCGTGAAATGTCTTCATCACTTTACTTATCAAATTAATTCTAAACTCCTTTTATGATTCCCATCTTCTACTATGTTATATTATTTTTCATTAGCTACGCGTGGGTTCAAACCGCGCTCAAATCAGAGCACCGTAGCCAAAGTTATGCACTTTTTAAGAAAAGGGTGCGAAACCTCCAGAACCCCCGCGCCCGCAGCGTGAGATCCACGCTCAGAGCGTGGGAAAACAGAAAGTTGGCGCCCCAAGCGTGAATCTGGCGCCCCAAGCGTGGATGCTACTGTCTGATCTCGTAATTTGGCGCCCCAAGCGTGAATTTGGCGCCCCAGGCGCCATCCACAGGGCTGGGTGACCCAAAACAAGGTCATTTAGCCTACCTATGGTTTTCCACTCATAATTTGAGCTATACTCACTCAAATTACACCATTTTGGTCTCTATGGAAAGCTAAGAGGAATGTCTACCACTTCCCTAGAGACATCAAAGTCCAATTCCATCACATTGGTTATGAAAATTGGTCAAACGGACAGGATGTATTTGTTTTCTCAACATTTCCCAATTTAGCACTAGGTACCTAATTTAGTTTCCAGTTCAACAATCCAATACTTAATGAACATACATATATTAAACTCAAAGTACTCATCAATTACACATCATGTTCATTACAATTCATGGAACTTAGCTAACAAAACACTATGATCATTCCCTTGGCTCTCATCAACAAAAGAGATGACCAAAGGCATGAGCATAGGCTAAGTCCATTCCAATATACAATTCATACATCTATCAATGGTCTATGAATTACAATCCTATACATGTGAGCTACAAAACAACATGTACAATCTCAAAAGAAATGCCACATTTCATGCATAATCCAGATATGGCCACTTGCCACCAGAGGCTCCTGCAGCATCCTTACCTGAAAGGGGGTCCCCACAACACGGGGTGAGATATACGAATATATCCAGTAAACCAGGGGTCCTTGGAGTATCTCTCCACCCCACAGTTCCATATCAGTGTAATAGCAATAACTATAATAATGCAGTAAATACATATCTATGCAAAGTGCAATACATCTCCAGGAGAAATCCCTCGAGCTCTCAAGCTGTCCTAAGGAAACTCAGATGCAAATAGTCCTACTGGCCAGCTAACTACCAAGTATGATTTACGCATCGTCATGCAACATACCAACATAGGGAAACACCATCCTATGCCACACCAAATGCATACACATACGTATAACAAAGCATTACACTATTTTATTGCATTTATATACACAATCACAACCTCTACCCTTTCAGGGCTTGGTGGAACAGTCAAGGGAATTACACCCAAGGTCCGAAGGCTTACCTCAATGCTTCAGTCGACCTTTGTTCTTCACCAACAGTTTCAGCAATCCACTTTTACAAATATACACCTATACAAGGGTAATGCAATTAACATATTGCATTCAAGGATAACTCATCACCATCAATCCAAGCTATCCTATTCATACCACAA